CTCACAGTGTTCCCTCTCCCTCCTCAACCCCCCTCCCTCCCCCTGTCCCTCAATCGCTAGAAAACTCCCTCCAGTTAGGTGGGTGTGGAGCAACAGTAGGCATAGCCTTGAGCCTTGATATATTTTATCCTTACTGAGCCTCCTTATTGCGGACAAGTTTCAGCCCCGCTCCTGTGCCAGGTAAGTCCACTACGGGCTCACCATAGCCCGTGCTACTTGCCCCGCTCCTGTGCCAGGTAAGTCCACTACGGGCTCACCATAGCCCGTGCTACTTGCCCCGCTCCTGTGCCAGGTAAGTCCACTACGGGATCACCATAGCCCGTGCTACTTGCCCCGCTCCTGTGCCAGGTAAGTCCACTACGGGCTCACCATAGCCCGTGCTACTTGCCCCGCTCCTGTGCCAGGTAAGTCCACTACGGGCTCACCATAGCCCGTGCTACTTGCCCCGCTCCTGTGCCAGGTAAGTCCACTACGGGCTCACCATAGCCCGTGCTACTTGCCCCGCTCCTGTGCCAGGTAAGTCCACTACGGGCTCACCATAACCCGTGCTACTTGCCCCGCTCCTGTGCCAGGTAAGTCCACTACGGGCTCACCATAGCCCGTGCTACTTGCCCCGCTCCTGTGCCAGGTAAGTCCACTACGGGCTCACCATAGCCCGTGCTACTTGCCCCGCTCCTGTGCCAGGTAAGTCCACTACGGGCTCACCATAGCCCGTGCTACTTGCCCCGCTCCTGTGCCAGGTAAGTCCACTACGGGCTCACCATAGCCCGTGCTACTTGCCCCGCTCCTGTGCCAGGTAAGTCCACGGCTCACCATAGCCCGTGCTACTTGCCCCGCTCCTGTGCCAGGTAAGTCCACTACGGGCTCACCATAGCCCGTGCTACTTGCCCCGCTCCTGTGCCAGGTAAGTCCACTACGGGCTCACCATAGCCCGTGCTACTTGCCCCGCTCCTGTGCCAGGTAAGTCCACTACGGGATCACCATAGCCCGTGCTACTTGCCCCGCTCCTGTGCCAGGTAAGTCCACTACGGGCTCACCATAGCCCGTGCTACTTGCCCCGCTCCTGTGCCAGGTAAGTCCACTACGGGCTCACCATAGCCCGTGCTACTTGCCCCGCTCCTGTGCCAGGTAAGTCCACTACGGGCTCACCATAGCCCGTGCTACTTGCCCCGCTCCTGTGCCAGGTAAGTCCACTACGGGCTCACCATAGCCCGTGCTACTTGCCCCGCTCCTGTGCCAGGTAAGTCCACTACGGGCTCACCATAGTCCGTGCTACTTGCCCCGCTCCTGTGCCAGGTAAGTCCACTACGGGCTCACCATAGCCCGTGCTACTTGCCCCGCTCCTGTGCCAGGTAAGTCCACTACGGGCTCACCATAGCCCGTGCTACTTGCCCCGCTCCTGTGCCAGGTAAGTCCACTACGGGCTCACCATAGCCCGTGCTACTTGCCCCGCTCCTGTGCCAGGTAAGTCCACTACGGGCTCACCATAGCCCGTGCTACTTGCCCCGCTCCTGTGCCAGGTAAGTCCACTACGGGCTCACCATAGCCCGTGCTACTTGCCCCGCTCCTGTGCCAGGTAAGTCCACTACGGGCTCACCATAGCCCGTGCTACTTGCCCCGCTCCTGTGCCAGGTAAGTCCACTACGGGCTCACCATAGCCCGTGCTACTTGCCCCGCTCCTGTGCCAGGTAAGTCCACTACGGGCTCACCATAGCCCGTGCTACTTGCCCCGCTCCTGTGCCAGGTAAGTCCACTACGGGCTCACCATAGCCCGTGCTACTTGCCCCGCTCCTGTGCCAGGTAAGTCCACTACGGGCTCACCATAGCCCGTGCTACTTGCCCCGCTCCTGTGCCAGGTAAGTCCACTACGGGCTCACCATAGCCCGTGCTACTTGCCCCGCTCCTGTGCCAGGTAAGTCCACTACGGGCTCACCATAGCCCGTGCTACTTGCCCCGCTCCTGTGCCAGGTAAGTCCACTACGGGCTCACCATAGCCCGTGCTACTTGCCCCGCTCCTGTGCCAGGTAAGTCCACTACGGGCTCACCATAGCCCGTGCTACTTGCCCCGCTCCTGTGCCAGGTAAGTCCACTACGGGCTCACCATAGCCCGTGCTACTTGCCCCGCTCCTGTGCCAGGTAAGTCCACTACGGGCTCACCATAGCCCGTGCTACTTGCCCCGCTCCTGTGCCAGGTAAGTCCACTACGGGCTCACCATAGCCCGTGCTACTTGCCCCGCTCCTGTGCCAGGTAAGTCCACTACGGGCTCACCATAGCCCGTGCTACTTGCCCCGCTCCTGTGCCAGGTAAGTCCACTACGGGCTCACCATAGCCCGTGCTACTTGCCCCGCTCCTGTGCCAGGTAAGTCCACTACGGGCTCACCATAGCCCGTGCTACTTGCCCCGCTCCTGTGCCAGGTAAGTCCACTACGGGCTCACCATAGCCCGTGCTACTTGCCCCGCTCCTGTGCCAGGTAAGTCCACTACGGGCTCACCATAGCCCGTGCTACTTGCCCCGCTCCTGTGCCAGGTAAGTCCACTACGGGCTCACCATAGCCAGTGCTACTTGCCCCGCTCCTGTGCCAGGTAAGTCCACTACGGGCTCACCATAGCCCGTGCTACTTGCCCCGCTCCTGTGCCAGGTAAGTCCACTACGGGCTCACCATAGCCCGTGCTACTTGCCCCGCTCCTGTGCCAGGTAAGTCCACTACGGGCTCACCATAGCCCGTGCTACTTGCCCCGCTCCTGTGCCAGGTAAGTCCACTACGGGCTCACCATAGCCCGTGCTACTTGCCCCGCTCCTGTGCCAGGTAAGTCCACTACGGGCTCACCATAGCCCGTGCTACTTGCCCCGCTCCTGTGCCAGGTAAGTCCACTACGGGCTCACCATAGCCCGTGCTACTTGCCCCGCTCCTGTGCCAGGTAAGTCCACTACGGGCTCACCATAGCCCGTGCTACTTGCCCCGCTCCTGTGCCGGGTAAGTCCACTACGGGCTCACCATAGCCCGTGCTACTTGCCCCGCTCCTGTGCCAGGTAAGTCCACTACGGGCTCACCATAGCCCGTGCTACTTGCCCCGCTCCTGTGTCAGGTAAGTCCACTACGGGCTCACCATAGCCCGTGCTACTTGCCCCGCTCCTGTGCCAGGTAAGTCCACTACGGGATCACCATAGCCCGTGCTACTTGGAACTTGTTCAGAGTAGCTGAATCTATAACAACAACAATAAGAGCACCGTATTTTGGGCCATGAGTCAGGTGGGCCTCACACACAGCTGATAGCTGCCAATGACCAGCATATTGACACAGTAGGGAAATACAGATCACAAAGTTACAAACAATAGCAATATTGTCATTGGGAGATAAGTTGTTTCACAAATTTTACCAATAATTAATTGACAGCAATGACACCAAACTGTAGTCGCTACTTAATGATTTTTCTCTTGTAAACTGCAACTATATTTGCTCTTTATATGAATGGCAGTTTTACTATGCATTGCAAATTTGGTAGAAGTAAGGAAGAGAGAGTCAGCTGATCTACAAAACCCAGCAGCTCTCTTGAGCTGATCTTGTCTGGTCTAAATGGTTTCCGCTCAGCCACCGGAGCCGGTGGCTGAGCGAACAGAACACTGTACGCGTGATCCTGTGGTCCCGGGTTCGATCCCGGACGCCGGCGAGAAACAATGGGCAGAGTTTCTTTCACCCCTGATGCTCCTGTTACCTAGCAGTAAATAGGTACCTGGGTGTTAGTCAGCTGTCACGGGCTGCTTCTTGGGGGTGGAGGCCTGGTGGAGTGGAGTGGAGACCGGGCCGCAGGGACACTAAGCCCCGAAATCATCTCAAGATTCCCTGCACCGCGGCAACAATATATGAACCAAGGCTGATCTGCAGGTTGGTCACATTACCTGTAATTTATCAGTAGTCGGTTTCAAGTTTGTCTACCTGGCCCGGCCTGAGGCCACGTTTGTCTGATGATAACCTGTTCCACAAGGCTGTTGGTGGCAGCGACCCGCAGGCTGCAGGAGCCCCACTGCCAGCAGGCTGATACTGCACTTGCTGCCACAATTTATCCAATTGCCTCTTGAAAACTCTTATTTCGGAAATAATTCTTATACTTGCCGCGAAGGAAAATAATTTTGCTTGAGAGCCATGATATCTAATGAACAAATCCACAAGGGCCGTGACGAGGATTCGAACCTACGTTCGAGAGCATTCCAGACGCTGCCTTAATCGACCCTAGACTGAGCAGCGTCTGAGAGCCTCTCGGACGTAGGTTCGAACCCTCGTCACGGCCCTTGTGGATTTGTTCATTTGATGCATCACGCTATTGTGATTTCTGTGTGTCATATTTATTAAATAATTGGTGGAGGTATTTGCTTGGCCATTCACATCACAGGAATAAGACTCGATTCCCTTGCAATAAACATTCCCATACATAATGTGATGAAAGTTGCACTAGCAAGGAGTCTATTTTGTCCATTGACAAGTTGACTTTGGAGACTCATCTATGAGTTACTATAACACCTACATTGTCCTACCTTTATAAGTCATAGTACCTATGACTTACTGCAGCACCATTGTGCTACCATTATGACTCAGCTGGGAGTTATATTTATCATTCTTAGCTAAATTATCAAATGTTTTGCCGTCCAGTAATGTTTCCAGTATGACGACTATGTCAGAACTCTCTCTCTCTCTCTCTCTGTCTCTCTCTCTCTCTCTCTCTCTCTCTCTCTCTCTCTCTCTCTCTCTCTCTCTCTCTCTCTCTCTCTCTCTCTCTCCTCTGTATGGGGGCGTGCAGTTTGCACGAAGGTTCCATCTTCCAGATTGCTGCAAGATATTAATGACGCTGGCAGGTAGGCTGCCTACCTCTGCAGCCAATAAGCTAATGGACTAGCTTCTCATATTCGTATGACAGGCTCACTCACTCACTCCCTTACTGACCCCTCCCTCCCACATGCCCTTTCACTCATTAACGCACTCACTGGCTCACTCCCAGCGCTCACCTAGTACAGGGGAGACCATCCAGATGGCGAAGACCTCCATGGCCTGCTTGGGGAGAGCCACGTCCTCCTCCTCGATCACCATGGCCTGGAGCTCCTGGGCGGTGATGTGGGCGCCATCTTCCAGTCGTAGTCTGACCGCCAGCCGGGAGTGTAGGAACACGCACACCTCCACTCCACCCGAGGACCGACCTGTCAACAATAAACCCCACAAATACACACTTTAAACCTATCACAAAACACAAAGAAAACCATCTATACATAAACACTAAGTAACAAACACGTATGACTGATCTGTCACCAATAAACCCCACAAATACACACTTTAAACCTAACATATCACAAAGAAAACTATCTACACATATGAACACTTAGTAATAGAAAGCAGAGAGTTACAGTGAGGGGTGAGACCTCAGATTGGCGTGAAGTCACCAGTGGAGTCCCACATGGCTCTGTACTCGATCCTATCCAGATTCTGATATACGTAAATGATCTCCCGGAGGGTATAGACTCATTCCTCTCAATGTTTGCTGACGACGCCAAAATTATGAGAAGGATTAAGACAGAGGAGGACTGCTCGAGGCTTCAAGAAGACCTGGACAAACTGAAGGAATGGTCCAACAAATGGTTGTTAAGAGTTTAACCCAAGCAAATGTAATGTAATGAAGATAAGTGTAGGGAGCAGGAGGCCAGATACAAGGTATCATTTGGGAGATGAAATTCTTCAAGAGTCAGAGAGAGAGAAAGACTTGGGGGTTGATATCAGGCCAGACCTGTCCGCTGCAGCCCATTTCAAGAGGATAACATCAGCAGCATATGCCAGGCTGGCCAGCATAAGAACGGCATTTACAAACTTGTGTAAGGAATCATTCAGAACTTTGTATACCACATATGTCAGACCAATCCTGGAGTATGTAGCCCCAGCATGGAGTCCATATCTAGTCAAGATAAGACTAAACTGGAAAAGATTCAAAGGTTTGCCACCAGACTAGTACCCGAGCTGAGAGGTATGAGCTACGAGGAGAGACTACGGGAATTAAACCTCACGTCGCTGGAAGACAGAAGAGTTAGGGGGGACATGGTCACCACATTCAAGATTCTCAAAGGAATTGATAAGGAAGATAAAGACAGGCTATTTAACACAAGGGGCACACGCACTAGGGGACACAGGTGGAAATTGAATGCCCAAATGAGCCACAGAGGAATTAGAAAGAACTTTTTTAGTGTCAGAGTGGTTGACAAATGGAATGCATTAGGCAGTAATGTGGTGGAGGCTGACTCCATACACAGTTTCAAGTGTAGATATGATAAGAGCCCAATAGGCTCAGGAATCTGTACACCTGTTGATTGACAGTTGAGAGGCGGAATGAAAGAGCCAGAGCTCAACCCCCGCAAGCACAATTAGGTGAGTACAGACACACATGCAACATATTATATATATGTATATATATAATATATGTATATATATATATATATGACATATATATATATATATATATATATATATATATATATATATATATATATATATATACATATATATATACACATATATATAGAGCAGGAACCTCTTTAAGCACCAACGTATATACCAAGCCCACCAACATAGGATTATGCCTGAACGGTAGAAGTGAGTGCCCCCAAAGATACAAAGCCAGTGTTCTCAATGCTTATATTCGTCGAGCGCTTACCCACTGCTCTGAATGGAGCAACGTGAGTAGAGAGTTTGAAAGAGTAACTCAGGTATTGGTGAACAACGGATATAGCAACGCGGAAATAAACGCTGCTATAAGAAGACACTTGGACCGTTGGTATAATTCAGAACCTAGAACAGAAACCACAACACCTCCAATAAAATTATATTATAAATCAACCATGCACAGTGATCATATAAAAGAAGAAAGAATAATGAAAGAAATAATCCGTAAAGGAGTAAAAAGCACTACTCCTAACCAAAACATAAACCTGATAATATTCTACAAAACCAAGAAGACTTCCGAACTCCTTATCAAAAACAGCCCGAAGCCGACGGAGAACCCTCTACAGCAGTCAGGCGTTGTATACATGTACACTTGCCCCCACGAAGGATGTAACCTTCAATCTAAGTACATAGGTATGACGTCGACCAAGCTGACGAGGCGTTTGACATGCCATCTTCAATCTGGTGCCCCTAGGAATCACATGAGACAAGCCCATGACATCACTCTAACAAGAGAAATGTTGAACAAGAATACCTGCATAATAGACAAAACCCAAGATGCAAGAAGATTACAAATTCTTGAGGCAATTCACATAAGAATAGAACAACCTACCATGAACACCCAAATCACGGAACTATTTACTCTACCCACCATGAGAGTAAGGACAAGACCAGAACATAACGATGCCAACACAGAAGACAATGTCCAACATAACAGGCCAATTACACTGGATTAATCTTTGTGTTTAGATAGGACCTGCCTCGTATGGGCCAATAAGCCTTCTGCAGTTACCTCCATGTTTCACTTCACATTTATCCCTTATGTATCCCCCCATGTTTTCACATTTATTGTATTATCACCTGACCCAGTGCGGGTATAAAATCAACCAGCATTGTAAGATCTGTTCAATTGAGAATGAACCATGGAGGTTCGAAACGTTGTGCAAATTGTATAAATAAGTGTAATACACTCTATAGTAAATCACTTCTTTTCTTCACCTTAAAAGTACGAAAATGAGTTTTGGAGAACTCCTATTTCAATTAAGCCCTGATGCTAAGAAAATAGTTGAGGGATAGAAGCCCTAAACCAGAAAATAATAAATACAGAATATGCGATCATATTCAATGAAACATGTTTGAAAGAAAACCTGCTGCCAGTATACACCAATATATATATATATATATATATATATATATATATATATATATATATATATATATATATATATATATATATATATATATATATATATACACACACACACATATATATACATACATATATATATATATATATATATATATATATATATATATATATATATATATATATATATATATATATATATGTCGTACCTAGTAGCCAGAACGCACTTCTCGGCCTACTATGCAAGGCCAGATTTGCCTAATAAGCCAAGTTTTCCTGAATTAATATATTTTCTCTAATTTTTTTCTTATGAAATGATAAAGCTACCCATTTCATTATGTATGAGGTCAATTTTTTTTTATTAGAGTTAAAATTAATGTAGATATATGACCGAACCTAACCAACCCTGCCTAACCTAACCTAACCTAACCTATCTTTATAGGTTAGGTTAGGTTAGGTAGCCGAAAAAGTTAGGTTAGGTTAGGTTAGGTAGTCGAAAAACAATTAATTCATGAAAATTTGGCTTATTAGGCAAATTGGGCCTTGCATAGTAGGCCGAGAAATGCGTTCTAGGTACGATATTATATATATATATGTCGTACCTAGTAGCCAGAACTCACTTCTCAGCCTACTATGCAAGGCCCGATTTGCCTAATAAGCCAAGTTTTCCTGAATTTATGTTTTTTCGACTACCTAACCTACCTAACCTAACCTAACCTAACTTTTTCGGTTACCTAACCTAACCTAACCTATAAAGATAGGTTAGGTTAGGTTAGGTGGGGTTGGTTAGGTTCGGTCATATATCTACGTTAATTTTAACTCCAATAAAAAAAAATTGACCTCATACATAATGAAATGGGTAGCTTTATCATTTCATAATAAAAAAACTTGAAAAAATATATTAATTCAAGAAAACTTGGCTTATTAGGCAAATCGGGCCTTGCATAGTAGGCTGAGAAGTGCGTTCTGGCTACTAGGTACGACATATATATATATATATATATATATATACATATATATATACACACGCCCATGCAACATACACATACACCCACTCAGCATACACACATTCACGCATAAAGCATAGCCACTCACGTGCAACATACAACATACACCCAGTCACAACATACACCCACATGCACATACCCACACTCACTGGCATACTCCCATGCAAACATACACACACTCACAGAACGCACTCACTTGCAACATATACACATACTTAATATACACATGCAACCTACACCTACTCACATGTAACATATATACACTCACAGACTACACTTGCATGCAACATATAAATACTCAAATAAACATATACACACACACATGCAATATATACGCACTCATACGCAACATATACACACTCGAAGGCGACATAAACACATTCATGTGCAACAACAAACACTCATACACAAAATACATCCAGTCACAGCAAGACAACGACCTGTGACAACATGCATACAATCACATGTAACATACACAGTCACATACAACATACATGCATGCCAAATACACACATTTAACACAAACATAATGTTAATGTGGCTAAATTAATGTGTCTCTTTCCCTTATTAATGTAGGTTATATATACTTACCCACGTGTGTATGAAACGAGACCTAGTTCTTGGGCTCCACCTCTTAGCAGTGTGCTCCTGCATGTCTATATCTATTTGTAGGGCACATGCAAAGTTATCATAAAATACATTTAATATGCATTTACTAACATTAGTCTCTCTCTCTCTCTCTCTCTCTCTCTCTCTCTCTCTCTCTCTCTCTCTCTCTCTCTCTCTCTCTCTCTCTCTCTCTCTCTCTCTCTCTCTCTCTCTCAGCACCCACCTTTAGTTGCTTTTCTCTCGTGGTCACTCTTATTAATGGTCTTGTCGAAGTCGTCAGAGTGCACCGAAGTCTGTGGCACTGATGGATGGATGACGGAGGTGGTGGTGGTGGGGAGAGTGTGGGTGGGCATGTTGGTCGAGGCGGTGGTGGTATGTGGGGGCGTGGCCATCATGTGGGTGGAGGGCCTGCGGGTCTCCGGCTCCAGCGTGAGGGGCGGCACTTCGAAGGCTGGCGGCGGGAGACCCGGGTAGAAGCCTGCCGCCTTGTCCAGGTGGTCGGCGCTGCCCTTGTAGTCTCCCCGAAGGAAGTCCGCCGCCGCCCTCTCCCGCAGGAACTCTCTGGGAAAGCGAAAGTCTTTGCTATTGTATATCAATATTTAGTATATCAATATTCGTGCTATTGATATACTTAAGGGCATCATAATAAAAACTACAACAACCTAACCTGCCTAAATAAGTAATCCTAAGCCAAATAAACACAATATTAGGTTTAATTTAGTAAATATATGTACTACATTAAGTCCAACAAAGGTTAGGCTAGAATGTTGCATTCTTACCTAGGATGTCTACATTATTAATACAGTATTTTTGTTTTATGTACAACAATAAATATTGTATACATTCCTTCTATAGTTGCTACAAGTTGCTATAATCTCTGGTAGCAAAATGACGGTATAAATAACTCCGGAACTGAGTTAGGTTGTGAACGGTGTAACATTATCTCAAAAGTTCTGCTTTATGATATAATTTAGTTTTAAAGCTTACAATAGACTTTGTAATCACAGAAATGTTAATATCAGTATCATTTGAATTTGAATTATTTATTTACTAGTGTTACAAAAGTAACATCTGCTTCTATATATTTTAAGATTTTTTAAATATATAAGGGGTACCACCTCTGGTGCAAATGTAGGGACCCATAGCCTCGGAGAAGAAAATAAAGAGTACTCAGAGAAGACCTTATGGATCCTCACTGAACACTTTTATATTTTCTTCTCCTATTTTAAGATTATATATATTATTTGATAATAGGTTTGCACCAAATGCATCGTTCACTGAAACACTTTTTTATTTTTCTTCAACCTTTAAACTTAGGTTGGCTTAGGTGAGGTTAGGGTAGGGTTAGGTTTGGTTGAGTTAAACTATGTCTAATTCTTTTAATAAACAAGGCTCTAGCAGTGCGCATTTCATTTTTAATTCATGAAAGAAAACATATTTTTTTTATCTATATTGCAAATATGTAGTGAAGAAAGCATTAGCCGCCCAAATAAGTAGATATTGAAAGTATAATAAATTGAAAATACAAAACTTCAAAATGTTTTTACATGTAAATAATTACTATTCTGTTCAATCCCGCCATCCTGCTCGAAAAATTTTCTTTTATATATATATATATATATATATATATATATATATATATATATATATATATATATATATATATATATATATATATATATATATATATATATATATATATACATATATATATATATATATATATATATATATATATATATATATATATATATATATATATATATATATATATATATATATATATATATATATATATATATATATATATATATATATAAAACGTTATTGTGATTTTTTAGGTAGGTGGAGACTTTGCCAATATGTCATATACCAAAGCTAGAAGATACAAGAAAAAGAGGTGATATGATTACGACATGCAAAATTATAACAGGAGTCGACAAAATTGACAAAAGAAGAATTTTTTAAACCTGGAACCTCAAGAACAAGATGTCATGGATTTAAGCTAAAGAAACAAAGCTGCCGAAAATAACATTATAAAGTTCATTTTTGTAGAGTGGTAAAATGGTTGGAAGAAATGAAAGGTAGAAGAAAAAACCCTCAGTAGTTTCAAAGCCTTACATGACAAGAGTTTCGGGAAGACGGGACACCACCGGACACCTCTCACCCTGTAACTACACTTAGGTAACAACACCCACCCACACCCAGAAAATTCACTTTCGCAAACAGAGTGGTAGACGGTTGGAACAAGTTAGGTGAGAAGGTGGTGGAGGCCAAGACCGTCAGTAGATTGAAAGCGTTATATGACAAAGAGTTCTGGGAAGACGGGACACCACGAGCGTAGCTCTCATCCTGTAACTACACTTAAGTAATTACACCCACCCACACCCAGAAAAATCACTTTCGCAAACAGAGTGGTAGACGGTTGGAACAAGTTAGGTGAGAAGATGGTGGAGGCAAGACCGTCAGTAGGTTTCAAAGCGTTATACGACAAAGAGTGCTGGGAAGACGGGACACTACACCTACCTGGATATGGTTGCAGACCGCGGGAAGGCATCTGTCTCGCCACGAGGACGCCTAAGTGGGAAAAAAAGATGGTCAAGTCAAGTTTTCTGGATTGTTTATTGTTACCAACCGACTACAAGACCTCCATATTGTTGACAATTAAACGCACCCAATTCTTAAATAACTTCTAAAAAAGAAAAAAACGGGGAAATAAGGAGGTAATTCTGCATCCTTGAATACCTTGTGGTCAGTTAATAACCTTGTTTCAAACTGTCTATCAACTATATCCCTGTAATTAACGGATTTATAGGTGAATCGGGAAATGACTTCAATTGCAGTGTCGGGGAAAATAACAAGATTTATGCTGATTACATTTTCTTCGTTTTTACAAAGTTTAACAAACACTGAACAACTTGATGGTGACGTTTCAAGTAATACCCGTGAAAAATAACACATTTCCTGAAGGAATAAAAATTTCGTGCATAAACAGAAAACGGACTTGTATACGATGTGTGTGTCGCAAGCAGAGACATCTAGTGCAAGTATCTTCAAATTAACATAACCACAATAATAACAACACCAAATAATCGGGTTCAAAATAATCAGATTCACGAAGCAGTTACGCAAGCACTTACGAACGTGTACATCTTTCCTCAATCTTTGACGGCTTTGGTTACATTTATTAAACAGTTTACAAGCATGAAAACTTGCCAAACAACTGTTGTTATTGTTATAAACAGCCTCCTGGTGCTTCGGAGCTCATTAACTGTTTAGTAATTGTAAACAAAGCCGCCAAAGATTGAGAAAAGATGGCCAGGTTCGTAAGTGCTTGCGTAACTGCTTCGTGAATCTGCCTCCAGGTTAGGGGTTCCAAACTCGCATGAACTCATTACTTTACCGTCCAAACACATACTTAAATGCTTATTTATTTAAAAACAAAATGACAACATTTAGCAATGAATGCTTTATAGACATGATGCACACTCACCACTTCTTGACACCCAAGAGAAACAACAACAAAAAACTGAAAATAGTTGTGACCTATGACCCCCAATTGTGACATTCGTGCCCAGTTGACTATTTAATAGTCCGACATTAACCCATTCTTACCTCCGAGTCCTTAGCAGCGTTATTTAGTTAAAACTATTGATAAATCTCAACAGAATATATAACATTTAAAATAATTATATTTCATATAAAAAAGGAGTTGATTTAAAAATGTTCTTAAACACAAATTTATATTCCGAAAGTATATATACTGTTAGGTATATGTTACAACTAATAAAATTAACAGTTAGTAACTAGTACTTAATAAAATCCATGTAGTGGACATTTTCACTAACTACAACCACTATTTCTAATACACAACATTGGCTATGATTATAGGCCTACAGCATTTAATTCTACAAAACAATCACTATACGTCTTAGTAACTTATAATATCTCTAGCAATAATCTACAATATTGCAAGTATTTGCCTACAATATTGCAAGTATTTGCCTACAATATTGCAAGTATTTGCCTACAATATTGCAAGTACTAGCCTACAATATCGCAAGTACTAGCCTACAATATTAGAAGTACTAGCCTACAATATTGCAAGTACTAGCCTACAATATTGCAAGTACTAGCCTACAATATTAGAAGTACTAGCCTACAATATTGCAAGTACTAGCCTACAAAATTGCAAGTACTAGCCTACAACATCTCAAGTACTAGCCTACAATATCACAAGTACTAGCCTACAATATCGCAAGTACTAGCCTACAATATCGCAAGTACTAGCCTACAATATCGCAAGTAATACCCTACAATATCGCAAGTACTAGCCTACAATATTGCAAGTACTTGCCTACAATATCGCAAGAAATAGCCTACAATATCGCAAATAACTTATAACATCTCAAGTACTAGCCTACAACATCTCAAGAAATAGCGTACAACATCTCAAGTACTAGCCTACAATATCGCAAGTACTGTAATAGCTTATAGTGTTAATCACCATTAACGGTTTCAATGTTTTAATGTTTACTAAGCCCCAAAAAAGGGTTGTTACTACCGAACAGCTCCTTACTAATGCCAGAACTACTGTAACTATCCTTACCACCAATATCCAGTCTTAACTCCAATCCCATTCCATGCCATTTCAGTAACTCCTAGTCACCCCTAGATTATTCTCTCACCCCTATTCTCCTACCCACCTTTCATAGTCTCTTCTGATACACTTAGGTGCTTCTGCTACCCCCTTGCCTCTTGGGAATTACTAATTATTAAAAGCATGCAATTCTTAAAGATGTACCATTTAAAGCAATCCATAAGTTATTGGTTGCCTAAAGAAATTTGTTTAGGAATGTTTTTAAGTATTTTGTTCTCTTTCTCCATAAAAATGGTTAAAATACAAATATGATAATGATATTTTAATCTGCGGCTCAAAATTCCCATAGGCACGCAAAATATTTTTTTTTAGAAAGTAATTGCCAATTTCGGCACCTTTAAAAAGATTCGCCATCCATGTCCTATCCTCTTCTGTTGCCCATACCCTATTCTGCCACCCCTGGTGTCGTCTGCCACCCCTGGTGTCGTCTGCCACCCCTGGTGTCGTCTGCCACCCCTGGTGTCGTCTGCCACCCCTGGTGTCGTCTGCCACCCCTGGTGTCGTCTGCCACCCCTGGTGTCGTCTGCCACCCCTGGTGTCGTCTGCCACCACTGGTGTTGTCTGCCACCACTGGTGGTCTGCCACCCCTGGTGGTCTGCCACCCCTCGTGTCGTCTGCCACCCCTGGTGTCGTCTGCCACCACTGGTGTTGTCTGCCACCCCTGGTGTTGTCTGCCACCACTGGTTGTCTGCCACCCCTCGTGTTGTCTGCCACCCCTGGTGTTGTCTGCCACCCCTGACGTCGTCTGCCACCCCTGGTGTTGTCTGCCACCCCTGGTGTTGTCTGCCACCCCTGGTGTTGTCTGCCACCCCTGGTGTTGTCTGCCACCCCCGACGTCGTCTGTCACCCCTGGCGTCATCTGCCACCCCCGATGTCTGCCACCCCTGGCGTCATCTGCCACCCCTGGCTGCTTCTGCCACCTCTCTCACCCTCCCCTTGTCTATATTTACCACCAACCAGTTTTTGTCTCCATCACCCATTATAACCACAAAACTCAATTACCACCACTACTATAATCTCTCTATTCGATTTTTGGCTACCATCATAACCACCGTTTACTGCACGTATATATATATATATATATATATATATATATATATATATATATATATATATATATATATATATATATATATATATATATATATATATATATATATATATAATTCCTATACGTTATCGTCACCAATTGTCACTCTACTTCAGCCTATTACTACCATCACAAACCTTCCACGACACCCTGCTATCCTGCTATCTAGAGCGAGCCCTTCTAAGCCCTCTTCCATATGCTATCACCAATTTCACCAATAAAGCTATTCATTTTATTATGTATGAGGTAATTATTTTTAAATTTGAGTTAAAACTAAGGTAGAGATATGACCGAACCTAACCAACCCTACCTAACCTAACCTAACCCACAGCGCCCACCTCACCTGGATATGGTGGCGGATCTCGGGAAGGCGTCGTAGTCGGCGTAAGGTCTTCTGGTCGGGTACTCGACAGGGATGACGGTGATGTAGTTCTGGCCGGCGTCGGTTTGGTGGCCCCCGAGTCCACCACTGTCATCCTCCTCAAACCCGTAGTCCGACATCTTTCCTAGTGGCATCGGCTGCAAGAAGGTCACTTAATTAGCGTTATGAAAAGCAAGGCATACTCCCCAACCACTTGGGCTGGACGGTAGAACGACGGTCTCGCTTCACGCAGGTCGGCGTTCAATCCCCGACCGTCCAAGTGGCTGGGCACCATTCCTTCCCTGCCCCGTCCCATCCCAAATCCTTATCCTGACCCCTTATCAGTGCTATATAGTCGTAATGGCTTGGCGCTTTCTCCTGATAATTCACTTCACTTCGCCTGTGTATTTTACTGTGTACTCGTCTAGCAGAATTTGCTAGACGGAGCTCCAGATCTTGGGCCCATCCTTTCAATCCGTTGGTGGCATAATGTTATGATTCCAGTCCCCTTTGTCTTTTGTCATATATCAATTTAGAGCTGTGATGGATGGAGGTAGCCTCTATTATTTCTCCTAGCTTCTTCCAATTGCTTACTGCCCTTACACTGAACAAGTAGTTGCTAACATACCTGTGGCTCAACGACGTGTTTAGTTTCCATGCATAGCCGCTTGTTACGTTCATGCCCAATTCAATCACCTTATTTGTATTAAATTCCAATAGTCATTTTTCGGACTAACTCTGAGCCTTGTCTAGGAATCCTGAAGTGTGTCCCAACTCTTCTCGGTAATGTTGAGTTATCTGTTAATACTGTCATGTAAAGTGCTAATTATCCCTCTCCCTTCCCCAGGTTAGGCCATTAATATAAATAAGAAACAGTTTGATTACTAGGACAGGGCTAACCATAGCCCGTGCTTCTTGCCCCGCTCCTGTGCTAGGTAAGTTACGGGCTCACCATAGCCCGTGCTACTGGAACTTGTTCTGAGTAGCTGAATCTATAACAACAACATTACTAGGACAAGCAGTATCCTCCCCAGCCTGACGATTTAAATGCGACCTCAACACACAGTAAAATACTTCATTTTAATACTTTCACTTAAAATAAAAAATAAAATCTACCACTTACGGGCTATTCATGCCCATGCCACCTCCTGGTTGGTTTAATCCTAATCAATCAATCAATCAATTACTAGGACAGATCGTTTAGGGAATTCTTACTAAGCGTCATTCGGACGTTTCCCTTGCTGTTACTCTTTGCTCTATATTTATTAGGAACACTTTCGTGTACCTAACTGGGAGAGGGGGGTCTTGCTGCATGGGTAACAGCTTCTCCGTTTCTACCTTCCCAAGCTTTGCACCCTGGAGAGGCCACATTAGACCGACAACCAGAGCGCAACCCCATAGTCTCCTGAGACTGGATGCCCACTACTACTACTACTACTACTACAGTTCCACCCAGTTCACTGCTCTCCCAGCTACACCTACTTATTTATGAAATTTCTACAGGAGTCTTTTATACAGAACTGTGCCTAAAGAGTCTTGTCTAGAAATATGCATTCTGCCCTGCCTCACTCCAGCCATTTTTTTTAAACGCCAGTATATTTTTGAGTTATAATTTACCTTGCTTACAGCCGGGTTGATACTTATATAATTCTGACAAGATGTTTCTTCTAGTTTTATCCCTAATATTCTTTCTAGTGCCGTGTATGGTATGCTTTTCAGTGGCACCAGTATTAATTTAGCACTATATTCATGATGATTCAGGGCTAACCATAGCCCGTGCTTCTTGCCCCACTCCTGTGCCAGGTAAGTTACAGGCTCACCATAGCCCGTGCTACTTGGAACTTGTTCCGAGTAGCTGAATCTATAACAACAACAACAACATGATGATTAATGGCATGTGCAGTATATTTCAGCAGCCATGGTAATACACTGTCTAGCCGGTCGGCCGAGCGGACAGTGTAATGATCTGGGGCTCAGATCATTGGTTCTCCCTTCTCCCCTCTTTTCCCTCCCCTTCTCCCCTCCTTTCCTTCTCCCTCTCCCCTCCTTCCTTCTCCCCTCCCCTTGGCCGTCATTCGTCTCCTCCTCTTCCCCCCCCCCTGTCGCCCATTTGTCAGGGTCAAGAGGTTGACCTGAGGGTAGGGTGGTCGTGGATACCTTGGCTTCTCCCACTCAATTCCCCACTCAGATATTTCCCTCTCCACCCCCTCTCATCCCTCTCTGTCCCTCTCAGCAGCGGCCTTCCCCATACCAGGCAGAGTCAAATGTCCCTACTCCTATCTTAGAGGAGACAGGCTTGAACATAAATTATCAGTTTTGTAAACATTGCTCGCAGGTGCCTGGGCTCCATAGACGCCCTTGTCCCCCTTCTCTAGCTGGGGAGAGCTGACTCAATCTTCAGAAATTCATGTAGCTTTCCACGACAGATCAGTGAAGGTGATTGGCCTGAGATAAGGGCCAAGTCCTTATTGGCCCTAGAGTGCCAGACCTCAGGCCTACGTGTTAAATGGTTGGCCAGTGCCAAAATAATGGGTGGAGCCCTGGGGCTGTATTAGATGGTGGGAGGAGTAATCCTTCCCAGCAATAAGTTGGAAAAACTAAATTTCATCAGTGTGTCTTGGGAGTGTATTAGGAACAGGGCCGCAAGCCCGTATCCTCGGGGCTGAGGGCAGCCATCAACATCTTGGCCGTGGTGCGGGTATTTAAGGTATAGTGCACTTGAGTTTTGTGTCCTCGGTAAATATCCATTGTGCCTCTAGGGAAATAGAATAGGTTATGTGTTCAAATTGTCTTAATTTACATGTTTCATAAAATAAATTGTATAGCTTGTCCAGTGGTATTCACTTAACTCCCCTTTGATATATTTTGCTACTTTGTCATTTTTAGGTGTTGTATTGGAAGCCCCCAGGTTTTCCTAACAATTAATCGATACTAAAGTTGCCCTTGGATTTAAATTAGTAACGTAAATTACACAAACTAATTTTCCAAAATTTATTTCTGAAGTTCATATTACCCGGAGTCCCATGGTTACTGATTCCTTGCCTTCCTGGGGGATCGGTGATAGACACATTCAGGTATGGTTGGTCAGGAAGGTGGTGGCAGTGTAAATGTGTTTTGTTATTGTTTTTTTTTAACTAATAACCCTTGTCCTTGGTGTATCTTCCTCATTTAATATTCCTCTTACATACGTGGCAGTCCAGTGAGGGGTCATGCTGGACTGTAACAGTGTTAAGCTGGGGTATTGAGTGAAGAAAGACGGAGAATTACAATAGAGAGCGTATAGTACGATTATGAGAGATCACAAGATAACAGGATTAATACTGGGGAACATTGGGTTATTACAATAGAGGCCGCGGTCATTACGACAGAGGGTAAGCGGACATTACAACAGCACGCTGGAGTTGTGATCCTGTGGTCCTGGGTTCGATTCCAGGCGCCGGCGAGAAACAATGGGCAGAGTTTCTTTCACCCTATGCCCCTGTTACCTAGCAGTAAAATAGGTACCTGGGTGTTAGTCAGCTGTCACGGGCTGCTTCCTGGGGGGTGGAGGCCTGGTCGAGGACCGGGCCGCGGGGACACTAAAAGCCCCGAAATCATCTCAAGACAACCTCAAGATAGCCATTCAACTTTCATTTCATCTAGTACCTCTAGTCGTCTCTATCTTCTCTAGTGTTACCTCAATATTTGTCAAAATCTCATCTCTAATTTGTCTTTCTACTATGGCTGTGGAGCAGCTTCGCTTGTTTACTGGCCTTGAATGCAATGTCATTTTCATATTCTTTGTTTATTTATTCTCCTCTGACGTTTACACCAATTCTTGTTCTATTGTGCGTTTCGATTCTCTTCGGTCTTCTGTTTTCTTGATTGTTTCTATTCTCGTCTGCTTTTTTTGTCTCTTAACAAAGGGAGTATGATGAGGAAGATGTTAGGATAGCAGTGCACTTGGAATAAGATGTAGAAAGGAGATACTAGCGTGGAAAGGGGGGGGGGGAAGAGTGTGGTACATAAGAATAGTTCAGGGATATTTTCAGAATGGAGAAGGGAGGAGAGAGTGGTAGAATATGCAAGTCAAGAGAGGAATATACAGAGAGGGGGGCAACGCAGGCATGAAAGTGGGATTGGTTACAGGGAAAGATTGTGAGGCGGAGAGTTGCAGTGAGGTAATGAGAGCGAGTGCAAGGTGTTAAGATACATATAGGTTGTGCGGAAGAGACGGGCTCACCATAGCCCGTGCTACATGGCCACTTCGTTCTGACTAGCTAAATCTAAAAACAACAACAACATTGTGAGGAAGGGAGAGGAAAGATACAGAGGTTTTGTAACTTAAAGGTAGAGATAGTTTATGAAAAGCAGAAAGGTTGTTAGTTACGCAGAAGTTGTGAGGTTGGAAGTGCTAACCAACCTGTTATCTGCCCTGACACTTGGGCCAGTGATGTAAAAAAAATAATAAGCGTGAGATAATGCTTGCTAGTTACAAAAATACATATACCCTAGTTAAAATTAGCTTCAAGAAAGAGATCTTAGTCAATTGTTGTATCCTGCCTAGAAGAAGAATTAGCAATGAATGAGTATTAATGGATGTTAGTATCAACTAACCAAATATTGCAAGGCCAACGTTATATTACTTACACTACACACAGAAATCACAATAGTATATTACTTATTTTCAATCGAGACAAAGTTTATGCCAAATATAACGTGTATGCTAGGGATGAGGTTTATCTGTTAAGTGAAAGGGTGGCAGCCTTAATCTAATGCAGTAGATGGTGTAATTTGTCAGGGATCACAACACTACAGGATAATGGTATTCGTGTGAACTGAAAGATGACAAGTTGTAAACATGATACCAGAGCTCGATTAATTAAGGGAAAATGTTTGGGGAACATAAGACAGAATTTATGATATTTTTTTTAAGTATTAAAATGGTGACAATTGGGGACAAAGGAACACAGACAAACATGACCCTCTATCTTGAGAGGTTATCTTGAGATGATTTCGGGGCTTTAGTGTCCCCGCGGCCCGGTCCTCGACCAGGCCTCCACCCCCAGGAAGCAGCCCGTGACAGCTGACTAACACCCAGGTACCTATTTTACTGCTAGGTAACAGGGGCAGGGGCATAATTAATCATAACCCTAAAGTAATATTATACATAGCAGAAGCATTTTCAGATAACGTCACAAAGTGGCTGAAAAATAATACCCAACCCACACATATGAACAGACTAAAAGGCCTGAAACGTCGTCACTTTCATTTTGTTTCATATATGTAAATTTATATTATAAATAACATGGATGAATTAACTACATAGATATGTTATATTAATCATAATCAAGTTCAAATATGTTTATTGACACAAGAAAAAATACATCTCAAGGGAAAGAGTAGCTTAGGCTATTTCTACCCCCATTAATCATAACGGATGAATGTTGAGAAAAGGAAACTAACGAGGAGGAAAAGGCGCTAATTTTCAGAAGCATATTACAATTCAGTGTCAAACTTGGAATGACAACAGAGGTTTGTACAAAACAAAAATTGGTTTGAATTAAATTACGTTAATTATTGCCTAATAACAAGTCACATAGGGGCCTCCAAACCTAGACAGAATGGAAGGAACATCTGGGAAAATATATCTTAGGAATCTAAGCTAATTGTAATATCATTTGCATTATAGGCGACTTAAAATTCAACCAAGCCGGACAATTAAACTAGAAAGAGTCAAGGCATAACAATTTGTGGAAGTCTTGAAGATCGTTTTCTCAAACAGCAAACTTATCACAGAGCTAACAATAGAAAGTGTATACTGGGGCTAGTGCAAGCAAACACACACTAGTAGATAAGATGACCAAACCACATATCAGAAGATGGGGAAATATATCAGATAAGGATTTGGGATGGGACGGGAGGAAGGAATGGTGCCCAACCACTTGGACGGTCGGGGATTGAACGCCGACCTGCATGAAGCGAGATCGACGCTCTACCGTCCACCACTTAAATAAGATGACCGAAAGAAGATAGGAATTTGAGAAATTCAATCAGGGGGATGGAGACGGAGAGGAGTATACCTCAGCTCTACACACATCTTAAAAATAATGCAAACTTGTAGATAATAGATTAACGACTTTCCCGGGCATTCATATATACAGTATATGTCATTAACAAGATAAACAGATCCTTCGACATACCTTTAAATAGACACGTGAAATGACCAAACAAAAATTGCAGACGAGGAGTCACAATAACGTAGCTGAAATATGTTGACCAGACCACACACTAGAAAGTGATGGGACCTTTCGGTCCGTCCTGGACCATTCACAATCGACTTCAGAATGGTCCAGGACGGACCGAAACGTCGTCGTCCCTTCACTTGCTAGTGTGTGGTCTGGTCAACAAACAAAAATTCATGGAAAACGTACGAGACCGATCCATCGATGCCACAACATGGCCGGGAAGGACTCGGACAGCAGGGAGAGATCGTCAATGTTGATGTTACTGCTGGTAGTGCTCAGACTGCTGGCTTCACTGCTCCTCCTGCTGCTCTCACTGCTCCTCCTGCTGCCCCCGCTGCTCCTCCTGCCCTTTTCACTACTCCTGCTGGGCCTACTTAGCATACTGCCCTGGAGGGATTCGTTAGTGCTGTTTTTGTCATCTTCCATGTTGGTCTGTGCTTCCTGCGGCTTGACTATATTCCTCACAACTGGCGTTGCCGGCCCTGATGGTTCTATCATTGTTTACCTACAACTATTATTCCACTACACTGCTAATCTGAGTGTAAAATCCAAGTCATTAATAAGTAATTTTTGCGCCTAGCAGCCAAATGCGCAGGCGATTTTCGTGATCTTTAAAATATATAACTGGTCTGTGGTGAAAATGTTGCCATATAATTATGTAAAGATGCAAGTGTGATCACATGTTTTTATTCATCAAGTAACCGATATATCACAAATGTTATAGAAGCACATGTTGCACAATGAACTCCCATCCCTGTCCTGAATGATAAAATAATAATAATAATAATAATAATAATAATAATAATAATAATAATAATAATAATAATAATAATAATTCATTGTGTCGGGGGGGGGGGACAGACAACAAGGGTGTATTATACACTTTAGACACAGTATATCGAGGTTAATTTTTAAAGTAGTCAGTTTTATATATTTTGCCTATAAGTTATTCTCCCGAAATTATACACAGTCTCCATACTGGCTGCCTTAACTAAGAACATTTGTTTTGAGTCTAATACGTGGCAGAGTTGCATCAGCTGACTGACGGGACGGGCTGAATGAAACCGTTACATGCCCCCCTCCCCCTCCAGGGACAGCCTAATCAACACACAGTACTTATATTATTGCAGACAAGGAGTCACAGTAACGTGGCTGAAATATGTTGACCAAACCACACACTAGAAAGTGAAGGGACGACGACGTTTCGGTCCGTCCTGGACCATTCTACTTATTTCATAAAACATTTACTGAGTTTGCTGGTTGTACAAACGCTAAAATAATAATCAATATACAAAAAACATAGCATGCAACATGTTAAGATCAGGCAATGCAAATTACACGATGCTCTACTGTTTAAGGAACAGAACCATACGTCTTTAGGTTCAATTGCATACTCTAATTCCTTGCTGCAAAATGCAACATGCAAATTACATAGCAAGTCAACCTTGACTGTTCTTATAAATTATGTTGTCGAGTGCTAGGCAAATTTGCATATGCTAGCAAATATTAGTTACTTTGCAAGTTATAATCAATTCTACCAATTTCCTACTGTTATTACGTGTCTAACCTTGCCAATATCTGCCCTTGACCTATCTGGTCACCATTCATAACTCTTACCCACATCCTCTATCCCCCAACGGAAAGATTGATGATATTCTGGAGAGATATAAGAATTTTGCATCCCAAGATCGTAACCTTTTGTTGAATTGTCTGAATGTCTATTGCAAATTGTCTATATACCTAGTCATAAAAATGTCTGTGTGTACGTCTGGTAATATACTTCATGTGGAAAGGAAGAAATGTATATGTTTATCACTCAGAATGTTCGGTAATATGTATATTTTTGGGCTGTGTCTATATATGTATGAACACGTTGTACTGAACGGGGTGAGAATAGCTTGAGCTACCTCATCCCTTTGTGTGTATTTTACCTCAATAAACTTATTTCAATTTCCTTCTATTCCTAAGTCTGAATCATCGTCATTACAACACCCCCACACCCGGTTAGTCTTCCACACCATACTGGCAAACTGCACGCTCGTCTCTACTCAACAAACGACATCGTTGTCCCCACACTGGTCCAGTTTAACTGCCCTAATTACCCTAGCTACACCCCTATAATTCGCGCTACGAACGTTGCACTTTAAATTGGATCTAAATACTATCATTTTTCTTAGATATCTCTCGTTGCTGGAATTTGTAAAGAAACAGAAACCACATATGGCATAGTTCCTATAATTAACTCTTTAGACCTTTGACCTAACCTTTTCAAGACCTAACATTCCTCACTCACAACAAACCTCTTCTGCTCTCCCATTAACCTAAGGTATATATAATCTTATATTGTCACATGTGTTTCAGTTCAACCAACTGGTGCGTCTCAAGAGACTTGGGTGTGAAAATGTAAAGTACTTGAGTGAAATATTTCATGATAAAATATTTATGGTTTAGATCAACTTCGTATGTGCAACACAAATTACAGTCCAACAATACGCTTACAAATGCTCAATATATATCATCTTTACTACAGCATGAACAACATAATCATCACTGTAAACCTTGCAAAGGTGTGCAAATTAGTTCTAAAGTTTGACTTATTCTTGCACTAAAATGATTTTTTTAATTGAGAACGAGGCTACGAGTCCATCATAACATCCCCCTCTGGAAAATCTACTTCTCTTTTTACTCTTTTACTTTTACCAGCAGGAAGCTGTGATAAGTACGAATCACCGTGATGAGCGTTTTCCCCACAACCACTTGTGTAGCACTGGCGACTACTACTACGTCAATCCAGTGTGATCAGCTCTAATAATACTTCGCCAGTAGCCCTTGACCCTCTTCCCTGCTCCGGAACTGTTTGCATGTCCTGGTAACAAAGCCTTCAATCTCTTGCCCCACCACTGTCTGCTGCCAGAAGTGATTCACTCTGCCTCCCCTATATCATTCACGGCCCTTAACTGGCAAGTATTCCCGTTGCAAATGCGGTTCCTAGGGGCTCCCTCATCTACATACAATTCTCATTTTCCCTTGTCTCTTATCCCAGTTACCGTACTCACAGCTAATATTCACCCCTCTCCCAGCACAACCTCCTCCCCCTCAACATTCTTCAGTTCCTGAACCCATTTTATGCCTTTGTAACCCTTTCCATCATCGCCCACGGAATGGGTGTGCAGTGCGTAATAAATGACAAAATGAATGAATACCTAAGCTTTAGCGAGAGGCGTGACAGACGCCGGGTGGGTGATCACCAGACTCTCATTATCAGGTCTCATCCACTATCACTGGAGCCATTCATTCCCAACCCTTAATTGCCCTCCATTCATAATTGGCAAATTCTGTGTGGCTCTCTTATCAGAGGAAGCCTATCCCAGTTAATGGTGCTTTGCTACTGCTGATATCTTGGTGCTGCTCATTTAACAGACTTAATAGCGTATCTATATACAGTATATATTTATATAAATATGATGTACCTAATAGCCAGAACCACAGTACTTGGCCTAGTATGCAAGGCCCGATTTACCTAACAGGCAGAAAGATTTTTCGTTATCAAATATTTCTTTTTAAATTGGATCATTACAATAAATATTATTATAGTATATCAAGAACATGAATTACTTACTGACTTAGTTATGTTAGGATAGGTTTGGTAAGTTTTGAATAAAATATGTGTTAGTTTTAAATCAAATTAAAAAATCAAATCTTATATACTGCAATGGAAAGCTTTATCATTCCACATGAAAACAATTTTGAAAATTATATAATTTCAGGAAAACTCGGCTTGTTAGGCAACGACATTAATTCTACATATATATATATATATATATATATATATATATATATATATATATATATATATATATATATATATATATATATATATTACATATATATATAATAATATATATATATATATATATACACATTATTATTATTTTACAGGAACTTCTTTTCCATAGCCCATAAAACGGAGGAAAGGGTCCTGAAAGATATTGTCAGTAGAAACGTTATCCCTACAGACAAAAATCAGAGGATACAACTGACGATTTACTATAAAACCAGAAAAACGGCCAGCCTACTCATGAGAAACTCTCCAGACACAAAGCAGAACGCTTTAAAAGAGACCAACGTCGTCTATGCCTTCAAATGCCCTCTTGGGGACTGTATGCTCCAAAAAAAACAGTATATAGGCAAGACAACAACATCTCTTTCCAGGCGTTTAACAATGCATAAGCAACAGGGCTCCATTAAGGAACATATAATCTCTTCCCACAAACAAACCATTACCAGAGAAATCTTAGCAAACAACACAGAAATCATCGATAGATACAGCGATAGCAGGCGGCTTGACGTCTGCGAGGCACTACATATCAAGAAGTCAACACCAGCAATCAACAGCCAATTAATGCACAACTATATTCTACCCACTTCAAGACTCCGCTCCAATATAGAAGCATCAAGAAATATGGACCAATAGACTTTCTACAATTACTTCCATTCAATACCCATTGTTTCGTGTTCTGTCTTGTGTTGGAATTTAATACCCATTGAATACCCATTGTTGAAAGTTCGTTTTGCACCTCATCCACCTCACCCAAATGTAGATATAAACCTCGAAGATGTGTAAAGCTCTATTCACTTTCAGTTGTGTGTTTGTAAACTAAAGTCTTTGAAAATGTAATAAGTTTTACGAAACGCGCTAAAGTGTCGCGTCAGACTAGAAATAAAAATGAATTTTGGGGAATTGATCTTTGAATTACCATCAACAGTGAAAAGAAACATAAGAAAGATAGAGAAAATTCGTGTTAGAATTATTAATCTTACTTTTTCGGTCATATTTAATAATATATGTCTACAGGAAAGACTGCTACCAAAATATACTAATATATATATATATATATATATATATATATATATATATATATATATATATATATATATATATATATATATATATATATATTCAAGTTCAAGTTCAAGTATGTTTATTGAGATAAGCAATAAATACATCTCAAAGGGATAGAGTAGCTTAGGCTATTTCTACCCCCCTCTACTTCAAGTCCCTCAAGGGGCGCACAAATTCAGTGAGTACAAATAGACAAATAACATTACAAGAATCCCATTTAACATTGCAGGTTAATATAGTAAGTACAGCATATAATTGTTACACTCTTGGGGCAAAATTCTTGTAGCTCCTAAGTATACTGTCTATCATACCATTATCACACATCCAAACAATTTGATGTGGTACACTACTTATTTCCTTATTTCTATAGTTATCAATAAGTTGACACTCTAATACATAATGTTCTAAGGTGTGGGCGTGCGGCATACTACATAATTTACACTCCTTATCTTTTTCACTGACATCAACACCGTATTGCCAGATATATTTGTATCCTAATCTTAATCTCATGTAAATTGAATCCTTCCAAGTAGACTTTCCTTTACCATAAGTGAAGGACGAATTTGTATTTATTATGGAATAATTCTTAAGTGTGTTATTACTGTCCACCATTGCCATTCTCTTTACCATTTCTTCACCCTCCTGGATCATCTTGATTCTTGTTTTTATTTGTTTCAAGGTTAACTGACATACAACATCAACAAGAGTTTTTTCAGAGGCTCTCTTCGCTATGTCATCAACTACCTCATTCAACAGTATTCCCACATGTGAAGGGATCCACATGAATCTTACCTTATACCCAGTTTTTTCTAGTCTCTTAACATTCTCTCTACACTCTATCACAATATTCTGATATACTGGGCGTCTGCTATTTAAAGACTCTAACGCTCCTCTGCTGTC